GATGAGGGGGGCATCAAGAGCCAGCATGAAGGGGGAAGAAGAGTGTCATAAAACAGATTGTACTCCGACTCTCATTACTAATGCAAACATTAAAAGAGAATGAGAACATATGCATATTTGTGGTCGCCAAAAGTTAAACTGTGACTGTGTTGGTGAGAACAAGAAAACTGCTCCGCATGTGCAACCTAGAAGGAAATTACGAGAACTAAAATAAAAATTTTAAATTATCGGGCTTCAATAAAAACACATAAATACATATATACAGATGCGTGCAACTAATTAGCAACGAAATTCAAAACGATATTGCTTGCAAATTATGTTTATTTATTTATTTTTAATAATTTTCATTTAAAATATAATTCAATCTATATCAGAAACCACAATAACAAAAGTTGCGGAGCTTGCACAAATTGCAAAAAAATTAATCAAACTTAAAAAAATCGTCATCAATAACACATGATCAAAAATTTTTTTTACATGGAAAAAAATCCGCAACACCCTCGACAAAAAAATTCTAAAAAATCAACGGTAATTTTTAGCGACTTGAAACTTCCACTTTATTATACTAAAATTGAATGGGCTACAAAACTGCATACCCCAACATTTTCTATATATTCTAATTAAAAATTTTGAAATTTTGATGACGATTTTTTTAAGTTTGATTATTTTTTTTGCAATTTGTGCAAGCTTTGCAACTTTTGTTATTGTGGTTTCTGTTATAGATTGAATTATATTTTAAATGAAAATTCGTCGTTTTGAATTTCGTTGCTAATTAGTTGCACGCATCTGTACCCATATCGCTCATTTACTAGAAAAGTATCATAATCCAAAAAAACCAAAAATCGTGTTAAGAATGAACGTTACCTCTTTCCTATGATGTGTAAAAATTTCAAAGCTGTAACGATTATCAGTAGCTCACTAGAACAAAATATGTTTTAATTTTTACCATGGATGTAGATATATGTAAATTAAAACTTTAAAACCGTTTTTCTCGAGTTTTTAGTTTTTTTAATTTAAGATAGTATTGAAGTAAATGAGCGATAGGTATGATATGTACATACATAAAAACTCAAATTAAAAATTTAAAAATTCATTTGGATGCAACCACGTCAAATCATTACCTGCCACCAAAAGCATTTTCAAGCAAAGTATGTATGTACATACTTATTTCTCGCAAGACATTTTTGTATTCAAGTAACAAAGCAGAAGAGCTGTCATATGGTCGGTTGCTCTCATTAGGGTTACTTATCACTTCGCATCAAGAATGATAGAATACAAGATTGCGCCGATTGCAGCAGAATTCGTGAGAGTAATTTTAGCGTGACGTCATCGTAGAGTTGACAACTGAGAGCGGCGAGAATGAGGGCGACTAGTGATGTGCTGATGAAGCTTTTCAGGAGGGAGTTCTAACCAGTTAGCGACAAGTTTCGGATCGATATCGTACTTGTTGGTGTAACAATATTTCATATCATAGGTCAACAAACCCGATACCGATTCGAAAATTGTCGCTAACTGGTTATAGAATCTGCCCCTAGGCCNTCTCCTTTGCGCCCCAGTTCAGCTACGTATTTTTCATATAATTTGTAAAAATAAAGATTTACAAATTTTTAAATTAAACTCTCTTTTAAAAAGATATTTNGAGAGTTTCTCTGCGTTATGGCATGGAACCGACATATATACATATTTCATTTGAATCAGTGTTAAAAGCTCTATTGGCTCTATTGGCGAGTCTCCCCTGAGCCGTTTTTTTCCATATCTTTGGCCTGTGTGCGCTTTTATTTGAAATCTAAATGTTTTGGTACCGAGTATCGAGAGTATTGGATACATTTTAAATCGTTACCGAATATCGATCAATACTTGAAAGTATTGACTGAGCACATCACTACTGCTGTCTTCTCTACTATGACGTCACCAAAACAGCTGATTCTGTCAAAATCACTGAGAGCCGAGTAGCGGTATCGTCATCGGCGCCACCTCTGTATTCTTTCCACCTTGACTTCGCATAATATTATCTGTTCTATTTCTTATGAACCCACTAAAATTAGNAAATTTTGGGGTTTGTCACAAAAAAAGGGGGAAAACCTTATCTGTCGCTCGAAAAATCTAAGCTCGGCCGCCGCCAAAAAAAATTATCTACATACGAATAAAGAAAATTTTTCTGAGTTTGGTAATTTTTTTATTTTGGTAATAAATTTAATAAATTTTGTGGCAACCTTGAGGATGAAACTGAATTTGGCACACTACCACTGGCTCACTTTTAGCTCGTGCTTGTTTGTGGTAGTGGCCATCACGGCTCATGTATATATGATAATTATTTTCGTTTTTGAGAGATGCTGTTGACTGTTAAGACCCGTCCACATAGAACTTTGGCGTTGCGTTGGCGTTGCTTCAACAGCTGACTTTGAATACATGAATTCAAATGCAGCCGTCCACATAGCCAAAATTNTGATCACTTAGAAAACAAACAAAAAATCAATTGGTCGTACGCTGTACGCAAAAGCTATCCTTTGATGGGCAACCGCAAAAATGTTTACGAGTGTGTAAATAATATACATTTGTTGGTCTCAAGGACANAGCAACGCGCCAAAACAAAGCAAAAAGATGGCCAACTCTCATCTTTTCGCGTATGTCGCTCGTCAGCTGTGCAAATAAATACAATTTTTCCTTTTTAATCAAGTGCGGCAAGAAATATCGTTTTTAATGCAATTATTGATATGAAATATTAATTTATCTGTCGTTAGTATGTTAATTTAGTGGCCCAAGCATTCGCTGCCAAGCGTTCATTGTAGCAAGTATACTTTTAACGTGCGTTCTGTCAAACCAACGCNTTGGTCTCAAGGACAAACTCAGAAACGCACTGAAAAAGAGTGTGCAAAAAATCACTACCTGTTCCTGGTTTCGCAACTTAATATCAATCATTAAGGGTCACGTCTAGGAATCGAGATATATCGATTTGAAGTTAGTAACTATCNATTGACTGCTTAAAGAGCCAAAAACCTGCCCATCCCTGATCTATAATAACAACTTCATCAGAGCGTACATCAGCAGACTCAGCAGGTAGCAAAGACGACTCCGTATTATTGTTGGCAATGGTAGCAGAACTACAAGGGTCATGCGCTTTGCTGACATAGCAGGCGAGAGCTCCGCAGTAGAGGCTGTACGCTCAGCTGGCAGAGCAGCCGAGAGATCAGCAATGGCCTACAACAATAGCTCAGCGAGAGTATTAATGGCAATAACATCTGTAAGATCGGCACTCAAAGAAGCAGGAGAAATGCGCATAATCGACGATAACGCAGCAGCAGTATCAGCATCAGCACCTTGCACTGTCCGCTTGGGCTGAGAACAAATGCTAATGCTTTTTGACAAATTAGACGAATTGCTTTTGGTAGGCGGGTCAATGCCCTTTGATCGTGAGCGCGTACTTGCATCAATATTCATAGACTTCAACATAGACTTGTCATTGTTCTTAACACCCGCAAGCACTTTCTGAATTTCAGCTAATGAAGAGCACACTTTTTCAAATTTAGAGAGGCACATAGGAATAGTGCAATTAACGCAGATATCACATCTAAACATAATATTCACGTTTACTTTTACAAGATTTAGGCAGTTAGAGTTTAGGTTAGAGCATTTTAAATGCACTTTTTGCCCACAGACACCGCAAGAGATAAAGTCATCTTTTACGATTTGCTTGTCACAGTTTATGCACTTAGTCATCGCGATATCAGAACGAAGAGCAAATTCAAAACACAGAGCAACGAAAAACACGTCTGCGCGCAACGACGGTCTGGCTTACTTCCCCTAGGATTATTTGGCAGGCTTGAGTGCCAAAGATCGTGGTGCGCGTTAAAGTCACCAACTACCGTACGGTTTTCACCTCTGAGTAGTGCACCTATTTCAGGGTGATATCCTGCCGGGTAGATGGTGACAGGGGGTACGTATTCGTTAAATATTACGAGCTCAACATCGCCTGACCGGATAGCAATACCGACATTCTAGGATAGTATCCCTGCGGTCGATGTCTGCTTCAATAAGACGATACTGCACGGTATGGTGCGTGATGAACGCTAAACCTCCACCATTATCTCGCTCGCGATCTCGACGGTGCACGTTGCATCCTCGAACCTCGTGGTCCATTGCCGGTGCGTACGTAGTCCCGAGTAGTTACGAAGGTGACTCCACCCATCACAGGCATTGCACCTGACCGAGGTGGAGTTTGTATGCAGTCGTCTCTGGCATACGCAGCAGGTGTAAATTTCTGGCCCTGGGTTTGACTCAATACCAGCCCTGAGCAGAAGGGTACGGAGAAGATGTAGCCCTAGAATCGAGCAACGTTTGATGGATTTCGCCGACCTAAACGGGGTTAGATCGCCGAAACAACAGCCCTTGGTCAGGTAAAACCCGAGTCATTTCGGTACGTAGAACCGGCTGTCGTAGGAATGGACAACGTCTGCTCGGGCCTAATAGTTAATATATAAATTCGCCTTGTATTTATTTTATTTTATTTTTTTTTTAGTAAACAACCAATTTTTGAATCTTCAAAGAATACGGTAGCTTCAATTTGAAAGAAAGTGCCACAAACTGTTTACGTCAAATGGGAGTAATTGCGACTAAGAAGAAGTGTAGCTACCTTTAAATAATTAGTTCTATTCGCTATGCAAAAAACTTGTACAAGTTGTTACCAATAGTTACCAAAAAACTTTTAAAACTTGCGCTTGAGCACAATTTTGAAATTTCCTTGGGTCACAGGTTACATTTTTTCAACAACAACAACAAGTTCGTTAAATGTAAAAATGAACAATCTTGTCGCGATTTACTAATGNTTTCGTTCGTTTGAACAAAAAACTTTTAAAACTTGCGCTTGAGCACAATTTTGAAATTTCCTTGGGTCACAGGTTACATTTTTTCAACAACAACAACAAGTTCGTTAAATGTAAAAATGAACAATCTTGTCGCGATTTACTAATGAAAGATGATTTAAAAGGTACTCGGCTGAAAAAGTTGTCAGTGACAAATGCAAAAAAAATTCAAGCATATGTTGAAGAAAGTCGGAATAACAGGTCTATTCTGTACGTTACCGAAGATTTTGTAACAGGAAAATTGTATTACCAAAAAATTTTACCAGTTCTTGTCACCGCGATCCTAGGTACGTTGGTAATGCAGTTAAAATATTCAGTAATTCTATGAAGAATTGTGCAAATCCTGGCATTGCATATTTCAGGGGGCAATAATTTGTTACCAGTTTATGAGCTGGTAACAAAATTTACCGGTTACAAGAGTACACAGAATGCGAAAAGGGTTTCACAGGAACTTTATTTATCGGTTACAAACTTTGTATTACCAGCGCAGAATAGACCTGTAAGAAATATACGTATAGGTCCTATTCGCGCTAAACTTTGTAAGTTTCTCTCTTTGGGAGAGTGAGATACCTTATTCTCTGAATTTTGTTACTGCCTAATTCTTACTGGCTTTTCCAAACGAACACAACTATTGTATCATGCCTTGCTGCGAAAAATGCACAAATCTCATTTATTTTGGTTTAGTATTTCGAGTTGGGACTATTATTGTATATTCCAGAAAATAAAATAATCACTGAAACAACTGAACTACACTTTAGAGGCGTCACTGACAAACCCAATTTTAATATTTATAATTTATACAACTTTCCTTACAAATAAAATTTTCTCATGAGTAGAATTGTAACTGTCACGAAAACCAATAAACGAATTTATGTATCGTTAAGGAACAAGATTTTTAGCAATAGCAAGTGCTGTAAGAAACAGTTTGCCAAATTTACAAATAATAGTGGTTCTAGACCAAATTACATAAATTTTTACATATACTTACTTAATGAGGTAATTTTAAAAATTAAAATAATGCAATTAATTGAGAGTCCCTCGGCAACCCTGCGCTCCACATAAGCAAGGAATTTTCTCGTCTTCTAATGGAAATTTATAATCGTACGTTATTTCTTCGTTTACTCCTATTGGTTGCTTGGAATAAATCACAATTTTCTTTTCAGACTCAATTGTAATCACTTTAGCATAGCAGTTTGGCTGTAGAAAAAATAATATCAAGACAAAGTAGGTGTACTTATATATACTTACATTACAACTGTGATTAATAAAGCGCGCTAAATTACCGCATTTTGTGGCATCGATAATTGTTTCCATATCAATCCTAAATAAATATGAACTACCGATTCCGATCGCTTCATATTTGGTCTCCCGCAAATCAGCAACTATTGGGCGTATCATTTGTCCCACATACTCTATAACCATTTCATCTGCAGCAATAGGCTCCATCGCGAACAAGCCCCAGTCATGAATGGCCGACTTCGCGAATTTAAGTTGCTTTTTTCTAAATTTCAACTGATTAAATTTTAACAATTCAGATTCTCCAATTGAACCAAATGCTGTAAGCAAACGTCGTTGATTTGATCGAGCTTCGCGTGAAATTCCTTGCATTTTAGATATCAACTTATTGTGTGTTTGCTGTAATTGATCATCGGGGCGATCAGGCATTAAGGCGTTATCTATACTAGATTTCGCATGATGATATTTGTGTTTAGCCTTCTCTCTAACATCTAATTTGTAATAACCCTCGGTGCGGGCACACCCAGTTTTGTGCCGCTTCAGTTCATCTTCCTTTTTTCGCTTTTTTGTGGGTGGTGGGATAAATGAACGATCAGTTACGCAGTGATCAACCCAATGAGTATTATTCAACCAAAACCTGTAAGCAGCATAATGTTTCATATGTGGATTATTAAATTTTTATAACATCTATTAAATTACCCATAGGTGTCTTCTTGAAGATGGATCTCGTAACTCTTTCGGATATACTCGATGTCTTCTAAATCTATTCCTTTTGTGAGAAATTCGTATAGTACCATTATCTCATCAGTAGCATCACGAGCTTTAAATATCTCCAAAGGAATAAAATTAGTTTCGGAAGCCAAGTTTTGTACTAAAATATTTCTAGGGATTGACCCTTTGTTGGCATTCAAAGTATACGAATTTTGAACCGAGCTATACTTCTTTCGACTTCCTGTAGATTCCTTTTTTGGACGTCCAGGTCCAGGCTTTTCATTGAGACTTTGGGATGCTAGTGCTTCCGCCACAAAAAGTCCTGTGGTATTTTCTGAAGAATTAGGATTCGCATACCCGCCATGGTCATGTGCCAAGTTTTTCTTTCCCGTAACATTCTCAGATTTAGACTGACGGCTTTGTTCCAGGTTGTACCCTCTTGAAGTATCAGCATGTGGAGGCAATGAATAACAATGCTCTAGGGCAACTTGACTAGCTTGACTTGCTTGGCTTGAACCACCATCAGAAGATGGTGACATTTTTAAGTCATAGCAATAGTCATTGGACTCTTGAATAGTTAGAAAGCTTTCACGATCTAATTTACTACAGTTTTTCTCATCAAATCCATTTTGGAGTTTGACCTCCGCTTCAGTACATACTTTGTCTAATATTATGGCAGTATTTAAAGAATTACTTGTAGTTACGAGTTGATTTTTTCTTTTAGTCTCCGTTTTCTTTTTATATTTTATCTCATTCTTAGTTTTTGCAGAAACGACTACGAAATCTCGTCTCTCCTTAAAGGTTTCATTCTGCTGGTCAGCCACATTTCCATAATCCTCTATTTTTTTCTTGGATACTGAATGATTTTGAACTATTTTAGTCACCTTAACATTATCTTGTTCCAATTGATTCGAAAACACTGAAACATCCTTTATGAGAGCTGATTTACTGTTTTCAACTGCTGGTAACGCCTCTTCTTGACTTTGCAACTTTTTAAGGGCCTGTTCTTCGAGAAACTCTCGTTCTATTTGAGCCATGTACTCAGTATTACGTCGGCGTCGTTCTTGATACTCTCGCTCTTCTTCCGAGTCACTATATATTCGGTCATATTCAAAATTTGATATGCTTTTTATTGACTTTTTAATGTCACTATCATGGACTACATTAAATGTCGACGCATCGTTTATAGGGTTGACGCTTGAATTTTCAGCATTGTTTTCTATCCCATTTATGGTACTATCTTTGCTAATGTCTTCTAAATCAGTCGTAACAGAAAAGTCGACATGTATTTCAACATCTCTTTGTTGTTGTTGTGGTAGTTCTTCACTTTCGTTTTGCCCAACGTTTTTCTTACAAATATTCTGTTCGTCATCACTATCTGAATAAATATAGTTTTTCTTTTTGTTCTTTGTATTACTCTCATCTTTCCAAGAATTTACGTCCAGTGTTTGTGGATTGCACTTCTCATTTTCACGATTAGAATCATTTTCTGAACATGAAACAAAGTCATCCTCAGACCCTGCGCTTTCATCGCTTGTCTGCCCCTCATCGCTACTGCCTTCAGATGCTGTAGATGAAAAACTAGACGAGCTCGTTTTTCGATTAGATTTCGACAAAAGATCTGAAACCGCAATTATCTTTTCACTTTTGTCACGAACCGCGTGGTTACCTGAATTAGCATAATCCTTTTCAGAATCAGAGCATTGAACCATTTCATCTTGATCACTTAAATGTTTCTCATAATCGATCTTAGCTTGTTGAATGGACTCTTTTCGAATACGACGAAATGATGGTAATTTTGGAATCGATGCCCGTATACCGAGGCTAGGAAAAGAACGCAAATCAGACATATCGCATTGACTATTAATTAACTGATTTATATCTGGAGCTTTATCAGTGCGAATTGATGTTGATGTTTTGCAAGAAGTAGAAAACTTGTTGTTCACAACTGAATTTCTTTCTTTGTGTCGGCTCTTTTGCATTTGGTCATCCCACCACGACTCGAAATTTTTGTAAGCTGTATTTTCTATCATTTTTTTATTAAAATCGCGCTTAAGTATCTGCTTCAATTCATTGCTCACGCGCTCCACAACCGCGTCTATTTGTTTCTTAAAAGGATCGTTTTGATGGTAGACGTAATTGGAAAACGTCCGGTAATTATCACTAGCCAATGTTTGATAATACTGACCAAATTCTTCGTTATATAATGAGCCGTATGTCATGCTTCCAAAACCAGGCATGTAAGTTGAATGCATGTATGCCGGGTTTGGAAAAGTATGTGGTGTCGATGGATCGACATAAAGTTGTAATGAATAATTCAAATTCGGTTTGTAATACTCATTCTCATTACTTGAATAAGAATGAGATGTAAAATTTGACTTCAAGACTGACTCCGATAAACCCAATTTTTTTTGTAAGACCACACTTGGTTGAGTTTGTATTTTACAACACTGGGCACCATCATGAGATGACAGGCTTGATAAAGACATGCGATCTTCATCTCTGCCTGTTAAGTTTGGACTTGATGATTCCTTTTTCAGAAGGATTTCATCATCACTTGATGAAATATCACTTGCATCATTTTGTTGAAGTGATTTTTTTAAATTTTTCTTTGTATGTCCGGAAGATTTGCTTTTCTTCAATTTGTTGTCTGATCTAATTTCGACTTCATCCATCTTCATTTTACAATTTTCAACTTCTGATTCACTGCTATCGATTTGAAGGAACGGGGGTGCATTTCCAAAAGATTTCCTTTTAAACATCATTTCTATCCGAGTATCCAAGTCAACATTTCCTAATTCATTTACATCACCTGTATCTACTGATATTAAAACTTCCTGTGCTTCGTTATTAGACGAGGGAGATGGCTTGTTAAATTTTTTGGACTCTACAAATTGTTCAGGACTGGATTGCCCAGGAGGCGGAGGTTCCGGGTCGTCCCAATTCGGTGTTTTATCGGGAGGAGGGGGCGGAATTTCGATTTTAGGATATTCTTGTGGTGGTGGAGCACTCCAATTTCTTTGCCCATTCCAAGAGTTTTGAGAAGAGTCTTGTGTATAGCCATAAGAAGAATACCCATAATTTTGTTCCGAGATAGCATTTGACGATCCCAAATTTTGTACAGAATGGTGTGGAACTGAAGATCCAAGATTATGCAAATAATACATATCCACTTGATGTAACTTGGAAATATAATTATCCTGCCCTTCATATCCTCTTACTAATGGGATTGTAAGTTTCTTATGGGTTTTATTTCTATCACGATCAATATCACTTCGTTCGGCTTTTTTTTTATGGTAATCGCGTTCAGAGGATGTATCGTGAACCTTACGTTTCTCCCGATCTCTCTCCCGATGCCGTGATTTGTGGTACTCTCTATCACGTTCTCGATCGCGCCTATTTCCTCGGTCTCTATTTATTTCTAAAGAAACATCTCTCTCACGTTCTGGTCTATTATAATGATGATTTGTGCGTTCATATTTTAAAGACGAATATTTTTCCCGATTTCGTTCCTTTTCCCTAGAATCCCGATGATGATATTCCTCCCCTACATGTCTCCTAAACGTTTGACCATAATCTGGGGGATAGTCTCGATCATTTCGGAAAGTTTGAAAAACAGGTAACTTGGCCGAATTAATAACATCTTCAGTTTTATATGCATGGTGAGGTTCTAAATTTTCATGTGTTGAAGTGTTATGAAGTGTTCCGCTACTTGGCTGGGGTTTAAATACGCTAACTGGATGACCTACTTTAGAACCTTGACTTGATTTTTGTGATGTTAGATATTCTACTGTCTGTTTACATATTGTTCCAAAAGGGTCAAGGAAAACTCTTAAAACCTAAAAAGAGACAATTGCTTTTTAATTTAAAATAGTTTATATATGTTTTAAGCACCTTTCCCATAACCGATTTTTGATTGTATTTTTCGATACATATTCGGGCAGCTTTTACGTTTTCGAACACGATTCGTGCAACACCAAGGTGTTTGTTAGTTGTTGGGTGATGATAAATTAGAAGCTCATCGTAAAGACCACATTTATTCAGCATCCCAGCTAAAAATTGTCTGTCTATGTTGTCATTCAAATTTGTTATAGTAATTTCGATAGATGGAGGTTCCCCAACGTAATTTTGGTCAATTATTAAACTGAAAAACACATATTTTTTCCATTAATAAATTTTAACAATTTTTTTTTTTTTACCGTGGAACTATGAGAATCATTGGGTCGACTGGTTTGGCACGAAGGCGAACAATCGGATTTCGAGGATCTCTTGGTATTACAGATGAATATGTTTGTTCGTTCGACGTTACTCCGTCGTAACGATATAACTTGCTTGCACCTTTTACCAATGCTGGGTCTGAGAGCAGCTTGAAATTTCGTTGGCACTTTGGAACAGTCAATTGAGTTCCGGCGCTTTTACCACCAAAGCTACCTTGCTCACCATTTCCGGCGACGGATAAATGTGGTGGAATATTACAATACATTTTTCCATCCATTATACTATACGTTTATCTTGATCAAAATACTATGAAAAAATTTCAGTATGTTCAGAAAACCCATATCTGTAATGTACTTAACACCTAATTAAAGTTTGTCCATTAGCTTCGATGTGCTGTACTTGAGTTCTTCTTACAATATATTAACAGAATCCAAAAATTATTTGCAAACATCAATTGAAATCCCAACCTATGAAATCAGCTAGAAACTCTTAAAAATTTTAAGCAAATGGGAAATGAACCACTGCATTCACCACAAGTGAAATTCTCTCCAAAATTAGATATTTGAAAAAAATATCGATATATCTGGGATCGAAATCTGCTATTCGATACATAGCTAGGAATGCAAGATATGCATCGATGTTTCTAAATCATCGATAATACGCACTTCCCACTCCAAACAGTGGTTCCCTTCCATATAAAATGTGAGCAAAAATAGAATTATGCAGCGTTTTTGCTCCATTTATAATGCAACATTTAGCACCTTCGAACATATGTTTTCGAAGAGTGTTCATGCTATCGCAAAAAAAATTTTAAACCAAAAATTCAATACAAAAACTTGAATTTTTTTAACCATAACAGAAAATTTTTTTGTGTATATATTCATTTGTCGGTGCTGTCAATTAAATTTTCCTCACTTAATTGGGAAACAAAACGAACAGAGTTGATCACGAATTGATCCAGATTTCAATCAGCATCACATCGATGTTGAATTTGCGTAACTTTTCTTTATCCAAATAATGTAAAATAGACACTGAATACGCGAAAAAGCAATGTAGCCACTTTTTCTCATCGAATCGTGAAAATTGCAAAAATGGAGTTGCATTTAGTGACATTTGGGTTACGAATTTTGTATGGATAAATGTACATTTACAGTAGCATTTAGAGCTAAATGCGCTAAATGTGCTTTTACGCGTAAGCAAAAACAGCCCATTACAGCCGGATTAAAATTAAAATTTAGTTTCTTATATCCGCGTCAGGATGGTTACTTGTACGTCAATGCCAGAGAAGTATGCAAAGGAAATGGTGTACTTAAATTACTTTAAAATACGCCACAATGAAGGTGCTACGTCTGCAAATAAAAAACAGATTTCTTTATGGTCGCGTACTTGGGGTCTACACAAGTCAATTTTGCAGATATAATAGCAATACATTCACATTTTTGGCTTAAATGTAGAATACCTAGAACTCCCAATTTAAAAAATTTGTATTAGGATCGATAGGGGTTTTAGTCCTGATCATAACGGTTGAATTTTTGCGTGCGGGAAATAATAATTACTTTTGTTATTGAAGTTCAAAGTACGTAGAAGCTGGGAACAATTCCACTAAGTGCAGAATACGTACATTTCTCTGATTTGGGGCCGGTTACTCAATGTCTGGTTAACACTGATCTGCGGTTAAACATCTTTATCGACGTCTTCGACTCCATGCATACAATAGGGCGTCGGTAACGTCGATAACTATGTTTAACCGGAGATTAGTGTTAACCAGACATTGAGTAACCGGCCCTTAAAAACTGTATATTAGGAACGTTATACTATTTTCAGACAGGCAGTCAATCGAGCAATTATCCAAGCTTTGTCAGTTAATGCACTAATTAAGATCGATTTGCCATACAAAATTTAAATTCTTAATTGCCAGATTGGTAATTAATTGAATGTTTAATCGAGTAAAAACCCCAATGCAACTATGTTAGGTAAGTTCGTTTTCTTAGTTTTGGTGTGTTCAGTGTTACATGACAATCGCTGTTTGACATAAATTTATTATTTTCTTTTTGCAACCGGCAAACAGCAAAAACCAAAAAATTAAATTTTAACGGCAGAATGCAGAATAATATGAATGGTGAGTAAATAAACACGAATGGTTATGTGCAATGTTTATTAAAAACACATATGTATGTATTTCATTTCGATTAGCTCCAAAACCGAGAAAGAGGAGACTGGCTTGGGCACGCAGAAGAATGGCCACAACTATGCGGAGATGGCGAACGAGCTAGCAAAGTTGGGCCACAACTACAGAATGTGCAAATGAAGTTGGCGAACTTCATGCAAAGCTACAGGTAAGAAGAAATATAGGAATAATATTGAAAACCATAAAAATTAATTCGTTTATAGAAAAGAGAAATTGGCTTTAAGGCCAATATGTTTTGCGAGCTGACGCTTGAAAACATCAGCGGTATGTATGCGTTTTTGGATTGTGCCTTAGTAAAAGCCGGGTTGTATTTTTAGTGGAGATATTTGTTTTGTAGCAGAGTGACGCGTCTGCGAATAAAAAATCGTACTTGCTAGAACAGCCCGTTTAATCGCATGTTTAAGTGCGAAGGTAAACTTAAAACTTAAGTAGAGAATGAAAATGTTTCCCCATTAAATTGATTTCAGTAGTGTTAATAGAAGTTTTATCCACTTAAAAAATGTTCACTATTGAAAATGAAAAAATCTTTTGGGAAATTTTTAGTTATTTGTAAAACGATTTTGTGGTGGAGCACCCCAAACCCCCCTAAACGAAAGAGGATGGAAAGCGCTTTACTAAAAGTAACCCATCCCCCCACAGACCACTTGGGAGCTGTTTAAACATAGGGGAAATTGGGCTTTTTTGCAAAAGAATTATAATCCTCACTAAGTACAATTCTTCTTTCTGTGTTGCCGGAGAAGAGGGGCTGAACACCTTTTGCAGAGATAATACGTGGATACTTTTTGTGTTTGACAGCTCAGCTCGGTTTTTTTCATTCGGGTCACGCGTTTTGCACAGCAACCCAAAATTGTTGTACAAATAACTAAACCGTACCCTATCTTTTTAACTTCGATACAAGCACATATGTACATATGTATTTATTTAATGCTGATTTTATAAATTTCATTCTTTTTTTTTTTTTTTCTTTTAAACAGAAGCCGATATAGCATCCCAGCCATCACCACTTACCCCAGTATTGCCGTCATCACTAAGCCCAACATTTTCCTCACCACTGGCATTACCTCTTCCTGCTGTGCCAACCACACCGCTGCCTACACCGTCACCGCCGCTGTCATCACCTCTTACTCCTCTGCCAACCACACCGCTCCCCACACCGCCACCACCGCCATCATCACCAATGCCTAGAAGCTCAGTTTGATATTTGATGTGTTGTCAGCGGAGATAAGCCAACATATACAGAGGAGTGAGGAAAATTAAAAAGAGTGGATGAAGATACAGAAAGACAAATCTGACACACTGAGGGAGATAGCCAATGATACCAAAGAATTAAGAAATGGAATTTCATCATTTTTAAATAGAGACTAATAATTCTATGAAAGTGCAGCTCATTAACTAACAAAAATTATATACAGTGGCTCAAACCAATGACCACGTGTTGATTTTTTTAAATATTAGTCAAGTTTTTCCGAGCTAAATTTTATTTATTTTTATCTTTAAAAACACCGTCAAAGCTTTAACCAAAACCGCATAAATCACAGTTATGAACTTTATTAAAAATTTAGGAAAATTCAACAAATTTTCATTAAAATTTCAACTTTTTAATGTGAATCTTTAGAACCTTTTTAGTATGCAGTTTTGTTGCCCATACAGTTCTATTTAGTCTAATCAAGTGCAAGTTTCAACCAGCTAAAAAATCCCGATGATTTTTGAGAATTATTTATTTCTTATGAAATAAAGCGCGGGAGACCGTTAGCAACAAAATTTCAAAAAAATCAACGCCAGGTTTGGTAAATTGCACTTGTTATAAAAAAACCGAAAAAGTAGCCTAAAAAAATCTCAAAAATCAACGCGATTTTTTTAGCTGGTAGAAACTTGCACTTGATTAGACTACAATTGTATGGGCAACAAAACTGCATACCAAAAAAGGTTCCAGAGATTCACATTAAAAAGCTGAAATTTTAATGAAAGTTTGTTGAATTTTCCAAAATTTTTAATGAAGTTCAAAACTGTGATTTATGCGGTTTTGGTTACAGGTTTGACGGTGTTTTTATAGAAAAAAATAAATAAAATTTAGCCCGAAAAACTTTACTGATATTTAAAAAAAATCAACACGTGGTCATTGGTTTGAGCTACTGTATATACTTTTTGTTAGTTAATGAGCTGCACTTTCAAAGGATAATTAATTTCTATTTAAAATTATTAATAAATTAAATTTAATTTAATTATTAAATTCTTTGAAAGCTGCACTTCATCTGACAAAAATTATATGAACATACCCAAAATTGTACTAAAGATTCAGAGTAAAATGTTAGATAGATAGATAAATTATGAGGTATGCACTGCGACCTAATGGTCTATTGTGCCCTCCACTCTTCACAATACTTCCTCCAAGCCAAGATCCCCCAGGAAGTCCCAGAGCTTCTTTGGGGATAAGGAGTGAATGTGCTCTAACTGTGGTCACATGGAACCTAAACTCCTCTCACGTCTTCTGCTGACCGCATCACACTCAATGAGGATGTGGAGAGACGTTTCACTGGAGACGTCGCAGAATCGGCAAAGGTCACTCGATCGTAATCCCATTTTATACATATGCCCTCCCAGTCTGCAGTGTCCTGTAAGAAAACCTGTTAATATTCTCAGCCTCTCCTTTGGGAGGCTAATTAAACTTTTGAATCTACTCTTGTTGTACCCTCCTAGCAGGCTTTTTGCCTGTCGCATACCTACCGAACTCTGCCAGTTCGAGTCCCTCATATTGTACCTCTCCTCCCTGAGCTTTTCCTTAATAGTGTTGAGACCCACTCCCAGGAAGGGCTCAGGGCCAATTGGAGTAATGGCTGCCGCCTCTCTAGCGAGACAGTCCGCCGCTTCATTCCCCTCTATTCCCATATGGCCTGGCACCCACGCCAGTTTGACGTTGTTGTGCATACCAAGGGAGTTGAGCCTCTCTATGCACCCAAGGACTAGAGACGATTTAATTTCGAAGGATAACAGAGCCTTGAGTGCCGCCTGACTGAGAATTACAATCTTCTCATTACGGTATCCTCTATTAATTATGGTCTCCGCACACACGTAGATGGCGTAGACTTCAGCCTGAAATATGCTCGGATATTTCCCCATCGGGATAGAGATCCTGGACTTAGGTCCGGAGATTCCAGCCCCTATTCCTTCCGTGGTCTTCGAGCCATCTGCGTACCACTGCAGTGTACTATCCTGAAGGAGTCCCTCAAGGGAGGAAGCAATCCAGGTGTCTTACTGCCTAACTCAATTTTGAACCTCTTTTCAAACCTTATGGTTCTACATATGTCATCCCTCGGAAGCAGGGCTAGCGGGAGCGAGGACCCTAGCTTCGCCATGTTCCTAGAGGAAATGACCTTACCTC